AATTCAGACATTTTTATAGAATGGATAAAACATTTTGTGAGGTATTCAAACTATTCTCATGAATCTCCAGTTTTGTTACTTTTGGACAGCCATAAAAGTCATATTTCTGTTAGAGCTTTGGATCTTGCGATTCAACATGGAATTACAATGCTAAGTTTTCCTCCCCATTGTACCCATAAATTGCAACCATTGGATAGAACTGTTTTTGGACCATTGAAAAGGTTTTACAATGCTGCGTGTGATAATTGGATGGTCAAAAATCCAAGACCTATGACCATTTATGGTATTGTTTCAATAGTTCGCGAACCATATACAAAAGCTTTCTCACCATCTAATATACAGAGAGGATTTTAAGTAGCTGGCATTGAGCCATTTAATCCAGAAATTTTTAAGATGATGAATATTTACCATCATCAGTTACAGATCGTGCTGCTCCAAATGTAGTAAACACAATTCTTGTGGAACCTGAAATGACTGTAGTACATGTTGATGGCAAGGAGCCTGAAATGCCTGTAGTCAGGGCCGGCGAGAGGGGGGGCCACCAGGACAATTTGTCCCGGGCGGCAGATGTCCATGGGGCGCCAAATGCCGAAGTAAAATAAAATAGTTTTTTTATTCTTAAAATTCTATAATTAACATGTATATATTACTCGCGTTATATCATTGTTTTTTATTCCTCGAAAAGCTTTAAAAAAATACGAACTCCTCAAAGATTTCGTATTCTATACGCTATTAAATTAAAAATGTCCCTTGAGATTTTGCATTCATCAGACTAAAGTAAAAAAAAGCGGACGTTGATAATTAGCAATAGCAAACTGTGAATACAATTTAGAAATAATTTTATTCAGAATTTAGAAAGTAATAGTAATTATTTTTCAACTATTCGTTATGATCGACTTATTTATTGTATTTCATGTTTACGATTTATTTATATTTAACTATTGAAATATTGATTTATGACATTAGCTTTTTGAGTTTATTATTTTTTGATGAGTTTGCGTATTTGACTTGGCTATTATTTTATTGATGCGTACTGTTATTTACAGTAACTGTTGATAATGAATGATAAAAACTTTCTGGTGCCCAAAATCGGGCATTGGCTTCCAAAAGGGCAAAAGACTGTGAAAAAAATAAACAAACGCTCCAAGAATTAGGTTGGTTTTACAAAGCTACTAATCAAAATACTGATTTGAAGGTGAGTTATTAGAAATATATAGGTCAATAAACATATTTATTTTATTTCCAAAGCAATTTAAGAAAAATAATTAAACATTTTTTAAGTCGGCAGAATTAAATAAATCAGAACAAACAATGGAATTATTGTATTATAATGATGTTGATCTACATTCTCTTGGTTCAGTGGAAAATGAAACAGACGACAGTTTTAACGATGAATTAAAACTCGAAGAAAATAAAGGTTTTTATATAAACAATAATTCAAAATAGTAAAATAATTAATTAAGTATTAGGTTTTAATTAATTTTTTTTAATTCAGGCGTTGAAAATGACCCAGCACTCTGGCCATCAATTCTTAAGCAAAGAGAAAAAGAAGAATTAATCAAAAAAGGTCCGTCAACTTTACCTGATGATTTCCCACGAGATGCTTCTAATAACAGGGCCTTTCCAAAAGAAGTTCATCTCATTGCATTCCCTAATGGAGAAAAAGTTCAACAAGATTATTTGATATGGAGCCCATTGTCTAACTCTCTGCTTTGTTTCCCGTGTTCTTTATTTGGGTGTGAAAATAGGGATCGATCTCTTCTTCTTCGCTGGAATGGAGGAGTAAAAAATGACTGGAGAAAATTGAGTGATCGTATCAAAAGTCATCATAGTAACCCAGTTCATCAAAGTCATTATCTCAATTGTAAGACTTTGCACTCAGCTCTTGTCGATCAGCGCGGGATCGACTCAGAGTTCCAAAAGGCACTAGAAAAGGAAGTAGCCAGATGGCGTGAAATACCTCGTTGTATTTTAGATGCAATTTTATTTTTAACATCTCAAAACTTATCCTTTAGAGGTAAATATTCTAGGCCAGAACTCTAAATACTTAAGAATAAGTTCTTTTTTTTAGTATTACAGAATTTCTATTATCTACATTTAACTAACTTAGAAAACATTATTTTTAGGGCAATATTCGTCGATGGAGAAGAACGAGAAAGGGAACTTTTTAAGTTGCCTTGAACTTATTTCTCATCACAACGAAAAATTAAAGAATCATCTTGAAACAGTTGCTTGTCATCAAAATAAAGGAACCAGAATGCAAGCTCACTATCTCTCCTGGCAATCACAAAACGAATTTATCAGTGGATGCGCTACATTAGTTCAAGCAGCAGTTGTGAAAGAAGTAAAAGATGCCGTATATTTTACGATAATTACCGATGGGACCCCAGATGTATCTCATACCGAACAAATTACGTTTATTCTTCGATTTGTGCGATTCAACTCGGGTAAGATGATTTGGGAAGTTAAATAACGATTTCTCTGCGTTGAAGATATGGAGAAAAAGAAAGGTGCAGATATTGCTTATTTAATTTGCAACGTTTTAGCGAAAGTGAATCTCGATTTACAAAAATTGAGAGGCCAAGGATACGACAATTGTTCTAAAATGGCTGGAATCTATAATGGAGCCCAAGCTCATATACTGGAAAAAAATCCGTTCGCTTTATACATTCCTTGCGGTGCTCATAGTTTAAATTTAGCTGGAGTTCATGCTGCTGAGTCTTGCGCTGAGGTCAAAACGTTTTTTGGCAATATCCAATCCCTCTACGTGTTCTTTAGTTGCAGCCCAGCAAGATGGAAAATTCTTCACAAAGAGACTGCTTTATCACTTCACAATCTCTCAGATACTAGATGGTCAGCCCACATAGCAGCTGTAAAACCTTTAGTGAAAAAACTACGAGAAATCATTGCTGCTCTGGATAGAACCGTTAATCAACTTGACCTAACTGCGGGCATGTTGAATCAAACGAAATCGTTGGGCAAATATTTTAAGTCATTTGAATCAGTAGTTCTTCTGACCATTTGGTATAAGACACTGCAAAATAATGATAATGTTAGTCGATGTCTCCAGTCGGAGTCAATCACCATTGAAGAAGAAGTCATCCTCATTCAACTACTTCTAGATGACCTAGGTCGCATTCGTCCGTCGTAGAATTGTATTTTGACTGAAGCAAAGCTAGTGGCTGGAAACCTAGGCTTTGAAACAAAATTTAAAGTAAAACGCACAAGAAAAGTGAAAAAATTCCACGAGGAACCATCAAATACAGCCCACTACCACGACGATACAGAAAAGAATTTTGAAGTAAATATTTTCAACGTGGCATTAGATCACATAATTCTACAAATTCAGTGAAGGTTAAAAACTACTTGCTTAGAACCAAAAAACAATGTAATGTAAAAGCAGCATCACGACTTGACTTTGACAAAGGATGATAATATAAAAAAAATAATCTTGTAAACTTAAGTTCTAATAAAAGTCTTGTATGAATCTTGTATTTTCTTTGTAAATTTAAAATACTGTATTCTTATAGACTTTATAAGCTTCAAGTTTTGTAAAACTTAACACATATATATGTTAGTAGTATATAACGTGCTTATTTTCATAGATAGAATTGTGGTTATTCTTCTAATGTAAGTGTATAAGGTTGTAATGATATATATATATATATATATATATATATATATATATATATATATATATATATATATATATATATATATATGTTTTAAATTTTACTTTTTTTTTTAGATGTATTATATAATATACACTAATACCCTTCAACTATTGCATTTGTAGGACTTAGGTATAGCAGTATTAAACATATAAATAATTTTACTCATATAAGATCAAACCGCCCCATATCGGAGATCATAGTACCCCATTGCATGGGGTACATTGATCTTTTGCAAGGGTTGTTGTAATGTTAAAATATACCATGTTCGTTAATGTTTTTTTATTAAAACATTTATTTTTACTTAAAGACAGATTGTTCTAGTTTAGTTTAGCAATTAATAAGTTTTTATATCTAGATCGGGTTGTTTGCAGTTTTCAAAGTACTTCAACGGGATCAAAGCGCCCCCATCTCTCCTACCTAAATTCGAATATTATGTCGACGAGTTGCTAGACTATTGTATAAGAATTTTTGGTTGGATGTTACCAATAGATCATCTTTTGTATCTTCAATATAAAGGACCTTTTTTTAATGTTTCTTTATCCAAATTTATAATTCATATTGAAACTCTTATTCTTTGAAGTAAAAATTTTGACTTAATCAACCAAAATTTTCAATTTGAATAACATGTTTTAACTAAAAAATTTAACTACTTGCTTTTTAAGCTGCTTCCTCATAAACCTAGATTAAATCAAGATGAATTTTATCGTTGACCGTATTGTAATGTTTTAATAAAATTTCAAAGTTGTTGTCTTCATGCCATTCTTTGCAACTTAAATCTAATTATGAAGTAAATAATAAAACTAAAACTTAAAAATAACCTGCAAAGCTGAACGCTCCTCTTAAGTTTACCTCCACAGAAAGAATTAAATTAAGTTTGCAACAACAACGTTTAAATTGCAAACAGTTGGAAAGTCAAATTGAACAAATGAAAACAGTTTTAAATTTGGGAAGTGAAAAGGTTAATTTAGAACTTGACCAAGACCTTAAAACATTGTATTCTGGTTTTAATCGAAAAAATATTCCAGACTCCATGAAACTATTTTGGAATGAACAGCAAAAATATATTCAAGCTTCTAGTTCCTGCAGTGTTAAGTATCATCCAATGATAATGAAATTTTGCCTTAATTTAGCAGCTAAATCTTGGTCAGCATATTCTGATTTGCGTTTTGATAGTAAGACTGGTTCAGGGTTTTTAGTTCTTGCAAGTTTACGCACGTTAAGAGACTATAAAAAATATATACATCCTTCAGGAGGTTTTAATTCTCAAGTCATAAGTGATCTTTCAAATAAAACTGCTAGTTTCTCTAGTGTTGAACGATTTCTTACAATTCTGTTCGACGAAATGAAAGTTCAAGAGGATTTGGTCTAGGATAAGTACTCCAGTGAGTTGATTGGATCTGTAGATTTAGGAGATATTCAAACAAACTATGCAACACTTAAAAATGTAAAAGAGCTAGTATCTTATGTTTTAGTTTTTCATGTTAAAAGTGTAGTAAACCCACTTTCCTACAGTCTAGCAACATTTGCTACTGTAAAATCAGTACAACTTAAGCCAATATTTTGGAAAGCAGTGCGTTTCTAGAATAATATAATATTCTAGAATAGTATAAATTTGAAAGTAATTGCTGTAACTGCAGATGGTGCATCTCCAAATAGGAAGTTTTTTTAAAATGCATAAGAAATTAGATGGTGGTTCAGGAAAAAACATTATATATTTCACTAAAAGCTTATTTAGTAATGATAATAGACTCCTCTTTTTCTTTGCAGATGTACCTCATTTAATTAAAACTTCTAGAAACTGCCTAAGTAATTCTGGTTCTGGATGTAAATCATGCTACATGTGGATTAGTGGATTTTTTCTTCTTTGGAATCTCAACATTTTATATTTCCGATTTAGAAAGAGGTTTAAAACTTGTTCCTAAACTAACAAGCGATCATATAAACTTAACACCGTATTCTGTAATGAGAGTACGACTTGCATCCCAAGTATTGAGCGAAACAGTTGAGAATGTTTTAAAGCAGTTTCGACCACCAGAAGCTGCTGGAACAGCAGAATTTTGTTTAAAGCTGGATATGTTTTTTGATTGTCTAAATGTGAAAAATAGTGAATATATAACGAAAAGAAAGATATAGTTATAGTGTTAAAACCATATGAAACAGTAGATGATTCACGATTTACTTGGTTAGATGACTTTCTCCTATACTTTAAATTGTGGAACGAATCTATAGATCAATGAGAAGGAAATTTTGATGAGAGCTCAAAATCAAAAAATTTTATTTCTTCACAAACTTATGAAGGTTTGAAACTTACAGTGCATTCATTCAAAGAAGTTGTTAAATTTTTACTTGAAAATGGTATTCAATTTGTTTTTTCTGAGAGATTCTGCCAAGATGACCTTAAAAACTTTTTTGGTAGACAACGGGCAATTAGTCGCAGAAAAGATAATCTGTCTATCAGTGATTTTAGCTACAACGATAATACAATCAAGTTGCAGTTTTCAGTTTGTCCAATTAATGGTAATGTTCAATCTGACATCAATAATATCATAGATATTGAAAATAATCCTTTACCAAAAAGAAAAAGAAAGTCGTTAATTCAAATTAAAAGCTAAAATTGAGCTCTTCATTTTCACATTTATTGATTAAAAAAAAAAGGTTATTTTCATAACTACAAAATGTTAAAATCATTATTTGTCATTTATGATGACATTATGACAAATCAGTCGGCCAATATAGAATATTTGGACAAGTCAGCCGCAGTCGCGCATACAAAGGGGAGTGGAGGGGGTAACTACTTCTAAGAAATTTCAAACTTCAAAATATTATTGATACAAATAAAAAATTTAATAAAAAACACCGGATCAAGGAGGGGGGCTAGGGGGACTATAGCCCCGGGCCCCGCAAATTTGGGAGCCCCAAAAAATTTTTGAAAAGCTTTTTTTTTTAAAGTCACTTTTAGGCTCTGGCTCATAAAAAAGCCTCCAAAACCAACAATAGCTCCAAGAAGTTAAAATCCGCCACTGTTAGGAGGGCTAGACTTACCCCCTTTAAGGGGAGTAAGCCCCTCCCCCCCCTTACCTCCTCATAAGAACTTCAAACTATTAACAACAAAATTAAAAAAAAAAAATTAAAAGTAAAAGTTAAGTTTTATGCGTCATTTAAAACAAGAAAATTAAAAAGATCCACGAATGTACTACCAATTTTCAAACAACAATTCAAATTTCTTCCAAAAAATTAAAATTAAATTTGAACGTCTATTATTATAGATGTGCTCAAAGCACATAAACGTTTTTGGTGAAATGGGAAACGGAGAGCACACTTAGGCTATTTAATAAGTTACTTATTAAATGATAATCTTCTTGTGGCAGTGTACAGTTGAGGTGCTCTAAGAAGCCATTAGGTCTGCTTGGGGCACCTTAATAAATTTAAAACAAAATCCAGGGAAACCGAACCGCCCCACCTTTTTTTCACCTATAAATTTGTAAGTTCGTAGATATCAAAGAAACCGATGATCTTTTATTTTAGTTGACCAAATAGGATTTCCCCCTCCCCCAACTTTAAAAAACTCTGACACTGCTGTATTAGGGTTCTACCAAAAAAGAGGCTACTCTTCAATAAACTTTTAAGAATGGGGATTTTTAAGAATAATAAAACGATGGTCTTATACACTTCGAACGCTCCTTTACAAAAGGTGTTGGCAGTATCAGACTAATACTTCTTGGGGTCTGGGGCTAATAATGTTTTTTGAGGTTTTTTTTATGTGCCAGAGGCTAAAATGTCTAAAAAAAAAGTCCTTTATAATATTTTATATACCCTAAATTTTGGGGCTCGGGTCTATATGCGGCAGTTTTGTAGTGGTAAGAGCGCTCGCTTTGTATGCAAGAGGTTCGGAGTTCGACTCCCACCATTTCCCTGGAAGTACCGCGTTCAACTTAATTTCTCCACGCAGCGGTCTTACTTGTCAAGGTTCGTGTTTCGGAATTAAAGAGTTGAGAGAGGATTGTACCACGATTTAAAAAAATAAAAAATAAAAACACAAAAAACTGAGTAGCCTTCTTGACTGTAGTGTGTCCCCCTCAGGCCTTGGGGAGGTGAATAATTAAAATTAAAAAAAAATAGCCCCCTTCCTTAATCCACCACTGGGTGTTTGAAATAAACTTGAAAATTAAATAACCAATTTTAATACATTTAATTCAAATAATAAACTAATCAAGAAAAAGGAAAAAATTATATTGATTGATCCACATGATGATTGAACAACACATGACATAGATAGATAATAACATTTTTAAAAATGAGCAAAGAAAAATTTATAGGCGGTAGGGGGAGGCAAACATGAAGGAAAAAAAATCTAAATTATTACCAGGTGGGTTAATATTTCATATTTGGTTAGTTATAGTTATAAGTGAACGTTATATAAATATAGTTAATGTAACCATAATAATGAACGTTAAGCTGTTAAACAAATTTTTAAACAAATAACTTTCGTTAAAAAAAATAATTAATGCATGTTACAATCCAGTATCAGTATTTGATAAAATATTAAAGTTCAGTATTTAATAAAAAATTGGTACAATAAATAATTTTTAATAACACGTACACTTAATTAATAAATCAATAAATTTAATAACTGCATATAGTGTCAGGTTATGTTATCCTAACGTGCTGAAGTATATACAGTTACTAACTGCTTGTAATTGATCCTCGTTATATATATATATATATATATATATATATATATATATATATATATATATATATATATATATATATATATATATATATATATATATATATATATATATATATATATATATATATATATATATATATATATGTCTCCATACTTGTGTGGTTTGGATGGTTCTCCATAGTGACATAAATTTGCCACTATGAAAGAATTGAAGCAATTTTTTACAACCTGATGCCCTCCCTGGCGTTATGACGAAGATATATATATATATATATATATATATATATATATATATATATATATATATATATATATATATATATATATATATATATATATATATATGTCTCCATACTTGTGTGGTTTGGATGGTTCTCCATAGTGACATAAATTTGCCACTATGAAAGAATTGAAGCAATTTTTTACAACCTGATGCCCTCCCTGGCGTTATGACGAAGATATATATATATATATATATATATATATATATATATATATATATATATATATATATATATATATATATATATATATATATATATATATATATATATTTATATATATATATATATATATATATTTATATATATATATATATATATATATATATATATATATATATATATATATATATATATATATATATATATATATATATATATATATATATGTCTCCATACTTGTGTGGTTTGGATGGTTCTCCATAGTGACATAAATTTGCCACTATGAAAGAATTGAAGCAATTTTTTACAACCTGATGCCCTCCCTGGCGTTATGACGAAGATATATATATATATATATATATATATATATATATATATATATATATATATATATATATATATATATTTATATATATATATATATATATATATATATATTTATATATATATTTATATATATATATATATATATATATACATATTTATATACATATATATACATATACATATTTATTGAAGGATCATCTTATTATAGAAAGTAACTATTAAGTAAATTTTTAAACAGAATTTATGTAGTTTATGTGCCATTAATGTTTTAAAAAGATATGTTCAATTTCAATTTTCTTTACTTGCTTTCTTAATTTCACATCGCAATGAACAAGTCTTACAAGATTTCTTTCTCATTTTATCCTTTTTAATAATATCTTTGGCATAAGAAAATGAACGAACTCTTAGAAATAATGTAATTAAGTGCTCTAGCAAACTCTTACTAACTTCAATTGATTCTGGATCTTTGCAAACTTGTTTATAAAAAGATAAAACAATATAATTTGCTGACATGGACTCAATTAGAACTAGTTTTGAAAAAACTTGTGTTGTTTTTTTACGACAAATAATCTCGTATGTTAGAAAAAGATCCTGAATTATATTGTTTACTTTCCACAAACCCTCTCTATCTCTAATATTTACAAGTGCCTGAGTATCATCTTCCATAACCCTGCAGCACAGTAAAATTGAAACACACTGTTGGCTATTCTTACATAAATTTTTACTACTTTAAAACTTAGTATACAGTCTCTGAAATATATACCCAATAAGATATTGTAAACTCTTATTCGCTATATCAGTTATTTCTTGAGTTGTACCTACAGATTCAATTATATTTGGGTTTATATCAGAGAGATTATTTAATATAATGGAAGACATTTCAGTGACTAGTGTATTGCTCAAAGTTATATCACTAAAGTGTGAAGCTAGAAGATTTTCGCTCAGCAGTCCATAATACTTTTGATAAAATAAATCACTATTGCCTTTAAATTTTTTAAATAATCGGTTTTAATTTTTGCAAAAGATGTTCAGCATCATCTATTGAATAACTAAATTGCTCGCATGAGAAATTTTTTCTAATATCAAATGGCAGGCACATTTCTATTTCCAATAAACTAGCACATTCTTTAACTATGCTTTTCAGCTTTAGCGGTGACAATTTATTAGAAGAATTTTCCGTATCTGACATTTTTAAATAACATTTTTCAAAACGTTCTAAAATATGCTTCGATGCTATGTGTCTTGCAGAAAAATAGATTTTGTTTTAAGAATTTTTGTTTCAAGAAAAATAAATTTTGTTTTAAAAAAAATAGTATTTAGTTAGAAATGCTAATTTGCTTTGAATCCAAAATAACTTTAGCAAAAACACATTAATTGTAGGGAAGATCGGGGAGTCTTCGGACAGTTTTTACTTTAATTGAGCTTATTTTATAACTATTGCATTTTTTCAAGTAAAATATTTTTTTGTCAAAATACAATAAGTAAGGTACATTTTAATATTTTAACTCTCTTTATATTTATTTATTGACTTTTTATTTTTTTTATTTTGCCCTATAATACTATTTAGGGTAAATGGACCAAATTCGAGCCAGTGACCAAACTCCAGCTACATTTTAAATTTATTACTTCTGTCTTGGTTTTTGCTTTATGTTTGTAAATGCGACTTTTTTGTGATTGGTATGAATTCAGCTAATAAAAAAAAAAAAAAAACATAATTTTAGTAGGCGGGTGTTTATAATTGAAGTAACATCATAACAAATATTTATCTCAAAAAAGTACTACTTTAGATTTAAAATATCATGTAAGCATCCTGTTTGAAGCTTATAAACATTAAATATTTATTACTTAACGAAATGTTAATTATTTTAAACTATAAAGGTTTTTCTTAAAAAGACAATTTTAGCCTTATAATTATGCTGAGTCATTTCTGTAAATTGTATTTCTTAACTAATTGCACCTGGTAGAAAGACCAAAATTCGGCTAGGTATAAACCTTATTTCGGCCAAGGCCGAAATTAGGTTCACGAGTGTCTAAAAGTAACTCATACTTGTATGATATTTATATTATTAGATTTTATTCTTTTAATATAAGTACTTTATGCTACATTTATTAAAGTTATCAATCTTAAATATATGCATTTATTTAGTTAAGAATTTTTATTATATTTTTAAAATTTGAGGATGATGAGTTAAAAATAAACAAAAGTCGAAATAATTATAAGATATTTTTATGTAAATTATTTCTTATAAATGATATTATATTAAAAAATAATCTTTAATTGAAAATTTTAATAATTTATTATATAAAGTTTTTTTTAGAATGGCTGATAATAAATATAAAGTTGATAATAAGAAACAATGTCATCCAACTCGAGGTAAATATGTGAAATATAAAGAGGAAGTGTTACTTGAAGCTATAAACAGTGTTATTAGTTCAACTAAAATGTCTGTTAGAGCTGCTGCTAAATTTTTTAAAGTACCCCGAGCAACTTTGCAGAGCAGGATAAATGGAAAAGTTGAGATTGGTGCAAAAGCAGGAAGAAAAGTTTTAATGCCGCTTGATCTTGAAAAAAAGTTACTCGATTTTGCAGACAACAGAGCTAGGATGGGCATTGGTTTTGGAAAAGAACAATCCTTGGTATATGCTGGCAAGCTTGACAAAAAATATGAATGTTCTTTTAAGAATGGCAAACCATCTAATAAATGGTGGCGACTACTTAACAACCGATATAGCAAAAAAGTGACTCTTCGACAACCAGAATCAACAGCATCAGTTCGTCATCAATGCATGAATCCAATAAAGGTAGCAAATTATTTTACTGCACTTAAAGAAGTCATTAAAGACTGGCAGCCTGAAGTTATTTGGAACATGAATAAGACAGAACTGCAGCTAAACTTTAAGGCGCACAAAATTGTTGCTGCAAAAGGCACTAAATATTTACATATGAGAACAAGTGGAAATCGAGAAATGATTACTTTAATTGTTTGTGTGAATGCAGCAGGAAGAGCCTTACCACCTCATGTGATTCCAAAAGGAAAGACAGTAAAATCCCTTCAAAGTTTTCAAGTTCTAGATGCCGCTGAAGGAACTAACTGGAGTCCAAACAAATTTGGATGAACTAAACAAGGAATCGCAAAACTATGGTTTGAGCTTACATTTTTAAAAAACATTAGACCACAACGTCCACAAGTTTTAATTTTGGATGGCCACGATTCCCACAATTTTATAGAGTTAATAGATATGGCTATACAAAACCGAATTTAAATTGTTGAATTACCTGCTCATTCAAGCAATTGGCTTCAACCTTGCGATCGAACTGTATTTAAGCCATTCAAAGTTTCATATAATAAAGCAGCCCAGGATATGATGTCTAATCACCCTGGGGTTATAATAAACATGGGCACTTTTACAGGACTTTTAAACAAAGCCTGGAATAAAAGTGTGACAAAAGCTAATATTGAATCTGGCTTTAAATCATGTGGAATCTTTCCATATAACCCATCGATTATTCCGGCTGAAGCTTACTTGCCAAACTATGTGTATTCTGAAGACAGGTTAGTGACTAATCGCTTTGATCAAATTAAAACAGTTGATAATAAAAACAGTTGAGCAGATTAATCAAACAACAGACAGCACACAAGTACTTTTACCAGATATTGAGTTAGAACAACATCTAGTTACCAACCCAAGATTTGCTGTAGTAAATGATCACAACTATTTAACTGAACTAAATACAAAAATTATAGAACTAAAAGCTGCAACTAATAAAGCTACTAGTAAGTTTTAAGACAGCTTTAGGATTATGTCTTTCTCTGAAATTGAAAAGCCTATTGATCAGCATGAGATTGATTTTACAGTTTCAACTCTTTTAGCTTCTGATTTTGCAAAAACTAAATCTTTTGCCCGAAAGTTCTCTTTTAAAAATTAATCTTTTCCAGGAGATGGAGATAATGATGTTTTGCCAAATTCAGATCTAAATTTTACAAAGAGCAAAAAAGCTAAGAATGCAGACAAGTTTTTTGTGCTTACTTCTAGGGAAGCATATAAGTCACAATTAAAGCAGAAGCAAAAACAAGCTCAAAATGAAAAGGAAAAAGAAATGCGTAAATTGAAAAGACTACAAAACTTGAAAATAAAGGAAGCAACGGTATTGTCAAAAGATAATCCTAGAAAAAAACCATTGCTATAAAAATAAACCAATAAAAGTATAAAAAAAACAATGTGTAATTTGATTATGTTGTTATGAATTTTTGTTCTTACTGTTTAAAAAAGTCTTTTATAGAGTTCATTGAATTCTTTATTCTTTTAATGTGAATATTATATTCTATGCAAATCTTTTAAAACAGTAGTATAGATTATTACATTGACATTAATTATCCTGATTTACATAATAGGTAAAGTAACATAATATTTAAAATTTTAAACCTAGTATGGTATTTAGTTTTTATTTTCATTAAAAAATATTTCCTTTTATTTGTTAACAGCATGTATATGCTTTTTTATTCTTGCCCATGGACAAGGTGGTGCAAATCATTTCCTGAAAACATATTTTTTTTAGGTTTAGGCATCCTTTTAAGTTTATTAATTGATGAATACTTAGTATTAAGTTAAGCAATCATTTTCTAACATGTTAACTTTAAATTTAAACTAAATAAACTTTAAATAAATCTAATTTTGCTAAAACTGTATTACTTATTGTTAACCAGCTAAAATTGCAGGATCCAAATAATTTTTGATTCAATGTTTAGTAATTCAATTAATTTTTAAATACTTTAAATGCCAACCCATAAAAGTATTAATAAAAAGCTTGTTATTTATATTGGCTGTAATTAGGTTTATTCCGCATACGCTTGGCTGAAATTTGGTCATAGTGGCTGTATTTTGGTCAAATTTATATACTTTTTGTTATCGTTGTTTTTTTCAAACAATTTTCATTTATAATAATTACTCTAATTATATCCTAAATGCTGAAGGATTTGTCTTTCTAGAAATGTGTCTGTAGAAACAATTTTGTAAAGATGCGGCTGGAAATTGGTCACTTTACCCTACACTGAGAAAAAATTGTTAACATATATAAAAATGGCCGGAGCAAGAAGAAGACATATTGTCTTATCGCCGAGCCCTGTTTTCATAGAAGCCGTCAGTTAACATTACAATTTAAAAACTTAAAACATAAAAATAGGTAACATACAAAGGTATTACAAAGTTAAAATAAGATATTAAAATAGCATAATTTTACAGTCATAGCATATTTAATGGAAAATAAAATGATAATAATAGCATATTTAATGGAAAATAAAATGATAATAATAGCATATTTAATGAAAGAAAAAAAAAGGTGAAGATCTATTCAGTTAATTTATTTTATTTTATAAACAAGTTTTAAAATAAATATTTTAAATTGAGTTTATTCCTTATAAGAAACGTTTACAAACTGTTTTAAATTGCTCAAAAGAAATGTTTTTAAGAATGTTATTTTTAATAATTTTTTGATAAAATTCATTCCGAAGAAATGGTCCACGATATTGTATTTGGAATGAACTGAGTTTTAAATAGAATCTTGGAACTACAAAATTATCATTTGAAAAATTAGCAGAATACTTATGAGAAATTTTAGTAAAGTAAGAGTGAAACATATTAGGCGACAAACCATGTTTGGATTTAAACATGAGCAGCATAACTTGATATATATTAAGTTTACAAACATTGAGTGCATTGAGTTCCATTAAGAGAGGCTCTCCATGAGCAGTTCTCTTAACGCCAAAAATAATTCTGGATGCCATTTTTGTGTTTAATATAGATTTTTTTAAGTATTCCATAGTTGCTACTTCCCCATGCAGTATTGCAATAGGTTAGATAACTATGGATAAATGAAAAATATATATAATTTTTAATGACTTGATTTTAAGAAATGGTTTAACTCCATATAGAACAGAAATATGTTTGGAAATTTTATT